GTCCGTGGTCTAACTATAGCTTTCACATATACTCTGGGGTCGCCAGTATCGCGTTCACAGTTCTAGCAGAATATCTATTGGACAAATTAAATCCTACTGGTGGTGTGCAAATCCATTACTGCCAATGTCTGGGGCACGAACTTTACTCGCATCGTAGGAAAACCGTTCACTTAGTAGTTCACATATGATAATTTAGTCATAATACGTCACACCATTGCACAGTATGGAATGAATGTTGTGATCTACACTCTTATTTATGCGCTCTTCATGGAGGTGACATAAGTTTTCGGATTGGGAAACGGTAGTAGGCACAGTACGGTCCTCTGATTGTTTATTCTTCTTGTGACTTCTTGGCATACTCACGTACAGAATATATTTGGTGCAGGTCACTGAAGTTTTTTAATACGCAATAAACTCTTTTTAGTTTTGATGGCTTAGCCCTGGTTTTTTAGTCGATATAAAGAGTTATTGATTTGAAATCCTTTTCGAAGGGTATGATGGTATCTAGTGGAGATTTAGTGGTGAAATTGAACATTTCCAATGTTTCTTGGAGTTTATCACTAGTAAAGAAACTGGTAAAGAAAGTGTATATGGTCTCTTTATTGGAAATGCGTAGTTATTATTTTGAATTTGTTGTATTTTGCAAGGAACGGTAGAGTGCAGAGGACTGTCTTATGGTCGCCATTGTGAAACTTTTCGCCAACTTCCACAGATGTTAGTGCGACAATGTGACAGAATATCAAGTCGAGAATGTTGTGGTTTCATGTAGTCAGGTTTATATATTGCTGCCAACCGTGTATGTTTAGGGAACTAAGTATGCTTTCAAAGCACAGTGAGCCAGAGTGTCTTCCAGTTTATGCTTGGGAGGTTGAAATCACCACATAAATTGTGTAGGCAAAATTAGGGGATGTAGATTCAGAAAACAACTCACTTCTAGCTCGAAACATACGTCCAATAAGTGTTTCACATTTTCGAGCATGCACAGTAAGCCATATCGAATCAGGTAATTTGCTGTGTACAGCATTGCTATAGATTTCCGCCCTCATATGTTTAGATAAATATATAAGACAACCACCACCCTTCTTAGAACCTGGATAGCAGTGGAAGGACTCATAGGTGTCTATTTGAAGGTATGACTCTGTGGAATCGGAAAACAACCATTTTCCCGTCATCAGGACAAGTGGAGGATTGTTTAAAAGCATCAGGGTGCGTAGGTGGTCGTTTTATCTCGTATAGATCGAGTATTGATTAACATGGGTCTCAAGTACGATGAGTATTTGCCTAATAGAGGGGCGCGATGAATACCTAGTGGGTTGTTTGTTATTTCGTAGAAAAAAGAGGAAGAAGTAGGTGTATCTGTTTTACATTCATGTCCGTTTTTTCTATTATCAGTATCGGTATTAGGAAAAATGTAGTCGGGGGGGAGCTTGAGGAACGAGGCATATCTGGGAGTGAAAGATCAAATAGTAAGTCAAGTGGATGTGTAGTGCATTTTAAAGGTAGTCAGGAGGTTCAGTCAAGAAGCTTGGAAGACCAGGAACAGTTGTCGGCGAAAGAAAGATCACTTCCCATTAGGTAGAAGTCAGTCAGCTACAACGTAGGATCAGGCACACATATGAATAGGTCAAAGTTGCCATACCTCATTAGCACAACAAGATGAAAACCGAATTCATAAAAGTAGTTAATTCAGAGGTGGTAATATATAAAAGAAAGTTTGCAGTAAGGATATAGTACAGGAAGAATGAATTAGTTCGTAGAAAGAAAGATATGAAGCGATTTTAATCTCTTAGTTTAAGGGAAGACAGAGAATGTATACACCGACGCCATTGTGATCGATTCTGAGCCATGTCAACCAGAATCTCCAAACATTGGTTACGATAGTCACGCGGACCCCAACCAAGTAGTCTGCATCTACCAACATGGCTCAGACTAGAAGTTAGTGACTTCAAGGACTGATGCCACGTTTTGGTTTGGCAGCCCCTAACTTTCTTCCAACCACCTCCAACACCGGTTAGCATTCCTCGTCGTGGTTTTCGGTGTTCGGGCATACGCAACACGTGACCCAACCATCTCAGTCGATGAAGATTAACAACCTCATCAACTGATTTACCATCATTACCTAATACCCAGCGTCTAACCACACTATTGCTTACCCGGTGATCTCAGCAGATGCGAATTACGCCCTCAACGGTTGAAGACCCCATAGAAAGACTCTCAAGGCGGAGAGAATTAAGAAAGAATGTCACCAAACATAACACACGAATAGAAAGTCATAGATGAGTCCCGTGGACGAAAATATTATGGCAATTCTCTTTGGAAGTGAGGATTCGGCCATCTGATGCGAAGACAAACCCTAACTATTCTTAATGTTTTGTCATATTTTGAATAGTCTGATGCTGCTAAAATAGGTAAAGACTGGTGGCCACATTGCAACATGATCGATAGCATTCGATCTGCACTAATAAGGACTAGACAAGCATGACATTGATCACCACCACCCAGTGATCAATCAATTGTGATTACATCTCAGTCCTACAGGAGGTTAGTCACGGTTCGGATAGCTCAGTGGTAACGTCCCTGACTGTGAAGCTGGGTGACACGAGATCGAATCGGCCAGGGAGCACCAGTTCCCTCAAGATTACAGGTACACCTTGCTGACGAGTGCCAAGTAGCACGAAACCCGGGTCCAGGGTTTCCTGTTGACTACCTCCAACCACCATCTAATCTCAATATATAGTGCCGGCAGTTTCGAGTCACCTAGACTGGTGGCCACATTGCAACATGATCGATAGCATTCAATCAGCACTAATAAGGACTAGACACATATGGCATTGATCGCCACTCAGCGATCACTTAATTGGGATCGTGGTGAGTAAGTAACAGGTCTGAAACTAGTGGTTTTTTTAATTTCTTCAGAAGCAGCTTGACAATCTGTGGACCAATCTCATTTTATATCCCTCGTCAGAAGATTCTTTAACGGAGCACGTAAGCGATGAAGGTTCGGTAGAAAGGCTACATGATTGCTAACTAGTCTCAAAAAGATCGTAGTGTGGGGACATCCGTCGGTATAGGCATAGCTATTACTGCCTGGGTATTCTCTGGGTCTGGTCGTTTGCCATCTTCACCGAAAAATGACATATATCCTTCCATAACAGAGAGCATTCTCTTCCTATCCAGGTGAAGTTCCTCAAGTACAATCAAGTCATTGTTTCTGTCCAGAAAGGTTTGGAGCTTGGAGTTTATTTAGCGTGATGTTCTCACACTCGCTAAGCCGGGGCATATACCGGAAAGCTGGAAGCTGGCTCACATCGCACCAGTTTTCAGAGGAGGTCAACGCAGCGAACCTTCGAGCTACTGACCGGTGGCTCTTTTCTCTTTACTTTCAAAAATTATGGGGTCCCTGATATGTGGCGCTATACATGACTATTTATTATCTTTAAATTTCTTCTCACCCCAACAGCATGGTTTCAGGGAGGGGCATACTTGTATAACCAAACTGCTGACTGCGGTGGACAGATGGACAACCATCCTTGATCGCAAGGGGAAGGTTGACGTCATTTACCTTGACTTCTCAAAAGCATTTGATGGGATCAACCATATATGTCTTATCAATAAGCTCTAATGATCAGGTATCAAATCACCTTTGATTGATTGACTCACTTCACTTCTCAAAATTCGACATTTTAAGGTTAGGGTTAACCTCACTTTCTCTCAGGCTATGGAATGTCCTAGTGGGGTCTCCAAGGGTTCAGTGCTAGGACCCCTTTATTTATTGATTTATATAAATGATCTTTCACAACGGGTGTCGTCAGACTCATCACTTTTGCCGATGATGTGAAACTTTGGAGAGAGATACACAACCAAGAGGATATACTGGCACTTCAGGAGGATCTGACTCGACTTCAAAGTTGGGAAGACAACAACGGACTTGCCTTCAACTCTTCAAAGTGTAAAGTAGTCCGTCTGAGACATGTTGCAGACTACAGTTACAACATAGAAAACTCCTCTCTAGAAGTATCCCAAGTTGAAAAAGATTTAGGAGTGCTGGTACCCTACGATTTGAAGTCTTACGCTAACTGTGAAAAAAATGCCTTTCGAGAAAACTTTGCACTGATAACATTGGAGCGCATTTTGGCCAGTTTGAGGGAAGAACTTTCCAAATAATCTTCAACAGTTTCATTCGTCCCCATTTAGAGTACGGGAACATAGTATATCGTCCCTCACTCCAAAAGGATAAGGAGCGTATCCGACGGCGAGCCACGGAATTACTTCGGGGACCCAAATTCAAGCCTTATGGGGAGCGCCTTCAGTCACAAAGACTTTGCCCAATAGAGTACGGGCGTCTTAGAGTTGACTTTCTAATGGCTTACAGCATCATTAACACTTCTGGACATCCCCTTAAACATCTACATAAGTTTAGCTCCAACACAAACTTAAGGGTAACATCCAGAAACTAGCGACAAAACACAGCAGAACGGACTGTAGGCACAACTTGTACTTCTTAAGAGTTGTCGAATTTTGGAATTAGCTGCCGGCTGATCTAGTCCAAGCGACTTCTCAAGAGTCCTTTAAGAGGCAACTTGGCCTATTCTTAAGGATTAATGATAGTACTTTACTATGATTTACCAATTTCTTTTCCTCTTTTATCGTTAATATACGTAGATTCCTACTTAGAGGTATTGGTGATCCACTGCTACTAGACACGGAAGCCTGTTAGGCATAAGTTTATATTCCGTTCAAAACCATTTTGATCATTTAGACCAAAAACCTGTCTTCTACGTCACAAACGCTCTGATTCTATGTTCAAATATGTATCAAAGATTTTCTTTTGCAACTTGTGTTGTGTACAATGAAACCTTTCATGAATAATTGATTGGAGGTTGAACCACTTTGTCTGTATTAGGGATTTGTTTATCCTAACTGATCTTCCGCCTGCCTCGGCAATTCAGTAGAGTTAGTTGCGTGCTGTTGGCGTGTTCCCTTCGTTCACTGTTGCGAATATGAGTGCTCAGCCTGATCATATCAACGCAGTGGTTATAGGACATGTAGATAGTGGGAAATCCACTACTACCGGTCATCTCATTTACAAATGCGGTGGCATTGACAAACGTGCTATGGAAAAGTTTGAGAAAGAGTCTGGTGAGGTAAGCGTATCATATCCTAGTCACACTGCTTTAGATGGGTAAAGGTTCTTTTAAGTATGCTTGGGTACTGGACAAACTGAAGGCAGAACGCGAGCGTGGTATCACGATCGATATTGCACTATGGAAGTTCGATACCAACAAGTACAAAGTCACAGTTATTGATGCACCTGGCCATCGTGACTTCATCAAGAACATGATCACAGGAACAAGTCAGGCTGACTGTGCATTGCTGATTGTTGCGGCTGGTGTTGGTGAGTTTGAAGCTGGTATTTCCAAGAATGGTCAAACAAGAGAACATGCATTGTTGGCATACACGTTGGGTGTCAAGCAGTTGATTGTCGCAATTAATAAAATGGACTGCACTGAACCACCTTTCTCTGAAGATCGCTACAAAGAAATCGTCAAAGAAGTGTCCGGCTACATTAAGAAAGTCGGGTACAATCCCGCTGCAGTTCCATTTGTGCCGATCTCTGGCTGGCATGGTGATAATATGGTAGAAAGGAGTGCAAACATGCCTTGGTTTAAGGGTTGGGAAGTTACTAGAGTAAAGGATGGAAAGAATGTTACTGACACTGGCTACACATTAATAGAAGCAATAGATAAGATGAATCCACCCACAAGAATGACTGAAAAACCATTGAGAATACCACTACAAGATGTTTACAAGATTGGTGGCATTGGTACCGTTCCTGTTGGTCGCGTGGAAACTGGAATTATAAAACCTGGTATGGTCGTCACCTTTGCTCCGCAAAATTTGTCGACTGAAGTCAAGTCAGTCGAAATGCACCATGAAGCACTCACCGAAGGTCTCCCTGGAAGCAATGTTGGATTCAACGTGAAGAACGTGCCTGTCAGTGATATCCATCGCGGCAATGTTGCAGGTGATTCCAAAAATGATCCTCCTAAAGCAGCTGAGAGTTTCATGGCGCAAGTAATTGTCATGAATCATCCAGGTGAGATCAAAAATGGCTATTCTCCAGTCCTTGATTGTCATACTGCACATGTTGCCTGCAAATTTAGTGAAATAACCGAGAAACTTGATCGACGTTCAGGGAAGGTAATTGAAGAAAATCCAAAGTTCATTAAAAATAGTGACGCTGCGAACGTGAAACTTGTACCGTCCAAACCCATGTGTGTTGAGACATTCCAGGAGTACCCACCGCTCGGTCGCTTTGCTGTTCGAGATATGAAGCAAACAGTAGCTGTCGGTGTCGTTAAAAGTGTCGTCAAGAAAGCTGATGCGGTTAAAGTTACAAAGTCCGCTGCAAAGGCTTCGAAGAAAAAGTAACTTATGCTTTTTAGTATACCAATTAAACTTATTGGATAAAAACTGCTTTTCTAAAATTGCTTGATCAAATCTTGTGTTTAGTATTGTATGTGTGATTAGGTAGTTTTGTCGACTGTTTAGGTTATGTCGAGCGGATTCTTGTTTATGCGTCACTTATGTAGTACTCAGTCGAATGAGACCTTGTTAAATTAGGTCTGAGTGACACGGTCTGAGTTTCGGATTTCAGTGTGCGTTATTCCTGGGTTCTGATGCTTTCCTAATCAAGAAAGTGTCGTTTGCTCCTGCTAGTGTAACAAGGATGCGTGTAGGCCGTCTGGGGTCCTAAGCCCAAGTTTTTCAGCTGTCGGATGCGTGGATAAACCGTTTCGTTGAAACAGCGAACCTAACTGAAAGATTTTTTGTACGGTATTACTGTGAGGGTACTTTTGATGTAAATTGCTGTGTCTCTACTCGTGTAACATTTCAGTTTGAGAATGCATCCTCGGGTTTCCAGCTATTTATACTGTTATGCCGATAGATAATGACACCAGGAAAGTATGATGTCTTTTGTTAATGGGATTAAACCTCCAGACCACTAAGTTTCAGGTTGGGACACGGTATTAATTCCTGTTCTTGAAGGTATGTTGCGTTGCACGAGGGGTTCGTTAGTTAAGTATTCAGCCTTGAGTGAGTTCTGGTACGCAATATGTATCCACGCATAGGTGGCCGTCAGGCATTCTAGGATTTCAGTTCTGGTGAAATCATTCTAGGGTAAATTGTGACTTGCTCGCTTTATAGGTAGTTGGACCTAAGCTGTTGGTAAATCAATGCTAGTCGTGGTGACGGAGGTCGTTTCCTCAATACCGCGCACTTACATCGAGGGCAATTATGGTGTACGACTTAGGTAAGTACACTTTAGAGATTATTATTAAGCACTAACTTCTGGACAGTCCAAGCAACTCGTTCAAATCATTTTGGAGATCTGTCCTATCGGCGTCACTACAGACTACTTGGCGAATATGTACATAGTCTTCAAACAAAATTGAGAAACGTCCCACTCCGTTAGCGTTGAGTAGTGTTGTAGTGAGGCACTGGCACACCCCTCTCCATCCAAAAGCACCCAGTTTATTGATATTCCTATCGGTCTCACAGTACGTGTTTGGTCCAGGCTTTTATTATGTTATTTTCAAGTTAGAAATTTCGTGCATAGGTCCTACAGAGGTTCTGTATCGAATGTTTATTAAAACCTGTAAATATTACCGGAATTCATCCGTGCCTGTACCTATGGATTGGGATAACAAAACGTAAAGAACTTATTCCCTTGACGTGCTTGAAGTCAGTTTGTCAGAATTCACTTTTCTATCAGTGTACCTCAGTAATGTATAAAGATAATTTGGTGTCGTCAGTGATATCCGTTCCGCGTCAAACACGGTTGATCGCTATTCTCAATCAGAAAGCCTAATGTTTCAATTTAAAAAGCTTCAAGAGCATAAATGCTTAGGAGTAGTGATAAGTCATGATTTAAAAACAACTACGCATTGCAAAGCAGCCACTGTCAAAGGTTTTCGTGCGTTATGGTCGCCTCGTCGAGCATTCAGATCTTTTGACGAGGAAAACGTTTCGAATTTTATATCCCATATATGTAAGACCACATTTGGAGTACTGTATCCAAGCAGCTAGCCCGTGTCTGGTGAAGGATACTAACTCCCTTGAGTGTGTCCAGCGTGTGGGAACGAAATTAGTGAAGGTTGTTTCTAGACTCCCTTACGATGAGCGTTTAAAACGCCTAAATCATTTCCCCTTATCGTAGGACACGAGGTGACCTTATACTGGCATTCGTATCTCTAATTATGATTTGGGTGTTAATATGTCTTATCTTTTTGCTCCCCCAGCACTAATAATCTCCGAGGTCATAGTAAGAAGGTTCATAAACCACGATCTAATAAACGTAAAGTGGGGTTCCGTTTTTCTTATCGAGTAGTCAATCATTGAGACGCCTTACCCGAACAAGTGGTATTAGCCCCATCAGTGAATACTTTCAAGGAGATGCTGGACCTTCACTGGAAAGCGATGTGTCAAGATTAATACAGGTTCACCAACCTACTATCCTTATTACTGAAGACTGGGTGGTGAATCCAATTATAGAAAGCGGATAGGTATTTGTTCAGTCACTATTTAATTTCCCGAATTCATTTCAGGGTATTAAAAAGGTGGTTAGTAGTTCTAAAACTTGAAGTTATTGACGAAAATGACTTATAGTACTCAGTAATATATTGTACAACTGTCCAAATGAAAAAAACGGTATTAGCGACAGGTGTTAAGACTGTAGACAACTATTTGTTTTTATTCCGAACTAGTCATCTCAGTGCGTGTCAATATTTCATGTAAGATGGTAATCCGGTGACCTATCTCAAACGTCATACGATTGTTTTTTCCGCTGTCCAAACAATCGATAATATATAAAATTGTTTTAGAAAACCAATTTATGAATTATCAGTTCAGTGCACTATCAAGTAAGCTGAATGACATAAACAGAACACTAGTATTTTAACTAAACTAAATGATGTAAAGTGGGGAGTACCCCAATTATCTCATCGGCATTCACTCAACTTAGAATTTAATATCGATCGGCCGGTACTATTATTAATAAAACAAGCTATCACGTCCGACTGATCGCATAGTGTTTTTTTCATTATTAAACTCAACTCTGCAGGCAAGAAAGTGATGTATATAGTGGTTTTGTTTTGGAATGTCTGGGTGGTATATATTATTCCCAATAGTGTAACATGCTTGGAAAGTGCCATATGACTGACCTGAAAATAGTTTCTGGTGCTTTGTACAGAAATATCTTGGAAAATTCAAACTTCTTTCAAGTGTAAAGAAAATACGTTTACCCTACGGTGGTGTGACAACTTGTTACTCCCATAATGTATCGTCTCCTTAACAGTTCGAAATATCATTTTGTTTACATGGAATGAACAACATTGATGAAAAATGGAAAAGAGTAACGAAAACTGATTATCGATTAAAGAAACAGACTAAAAAGAGCTGTGACCATGGAAGAATGAAAGATCGTATGTGCTACTTTTGCACACAAAATTCAGGCTTGAATTGTTAAAGCTTCTGCAGTGCACAAGGTTTTAATTTCTGCTCCCTATGAGCCAGCTTGTTTGGACGTGTATATTATTCAATTGGGATAACCTGACAAGAATTGATGATAAGTTACTAGGCTGATGATCGTGTTACATTCTCCTTTTAAGGGCTAATCAAGCTACGGTTCTGAGATGAGTTTTGGTGAGCACTTACTGTTTTCTATCAGTTTAATTTGTCCCACAAGAACAAGTAAACTTATAGATGTACATAATTTAATGAAGATGTTCATCCTTAGCACATCCGTGGCTGATACTACGGATAGCGAAGACAGTATAAAAATTTACATAATATGAAGTCATCCTCAAAAATTTCGGAATTCAGTTTTCCAGAATGTTTATATGGAAGGAATTTTCTCGTGCTGCCAGTATCAGTTGATAATGTTGATACTATTTATCACAAAAACTAAGTACTATTATTCGTCTTTTGTTTAATGATCTGTGTTCGGAATGTAAGGTTTGGACCTGATATCATTTTAAAGCGCAACATGTATAAATAAAACAAAGTTAAACTACAAATAGACTGTAACAATGTTTCTTCTCATTACGGGTTTCGGTCACTTCAACTTAATGTCATTAGTGTTTTCTACCCGAAAGCAATTTAGACTCAACCAATTCTTCCTTTTTGTCATTCATTCAAATACCACTATATGATCAGTCAGTGAGCTAAAATGTAGGACCAGGCACACATATACATCTGTCAAAGTTGTCACGCATTAACACAACAAGATGAACACCAAATTCATTGAAGTATTTATTTCAATGATAGTAATATATAAAAGAAAAGTTGTGTTTAAGGATATAATACAGGAAGAAGGAATTAGAAAGGTATGAAATAATTGTAATCTCATGGTTTAAGAAAACACAGAGTGCGTACACCGACGCCATTGTGGTCGATTCTGAGCCTTGTCAACCAGAATCTCCAAACATTGGTTACGATAGTCGCGCAGACCCCGACCAAGTAGTTTGCATCTCCCAACATGGCTCAGACTAGAAGTTAGTGACTTCAAGCACTGATGCAGCGTCTTGTTTTGGCCACACCTAACTTTCTTCCAACTATCCCCAACACTAATCAGCATTCCACGTCGGGGTAATCGGTGTTCAGGCATACGTAACACTTGGCCCAACCATCTCAGTCGATGGAGATTTACAACCTTACCGACTGACTTACCATCATTCCCTAATACCTCGCGTCTAACCTCACTATTACTTACCCGGTGATCCCAACAGACGCCAGCAATATTTCTAAGGCATCTGTGGTCAAATACTAGTAGCTTACAAGTGTCTTCTACTCCTAATCTCCATATTTCGCTGCCGTAAAGTAAGACAGAACGGACTGCCGCGCAATATACTCGTTCTTTTATTGATAGACGGATATCTCGCCTTCGCCATAGGTGGCGTAAGTTGGCAAAAGACAAACGAGCTTTTCGAATCCGTGCAGAGATTTCGTCAGACACCAATCCATTAGGGCTGATCAGACTTCTAAGATAAGTGAAGTTGTCAACGCTTTCGACTACTTCACTCCCTATCCTCAGTTTAGGTGTTGACGCAGGCCAGTCCTGAAGCAACAACTTGCATTTAGAGGTGGAGAAACGCATCTCAAACATTCTGGCATTGTTGCTTAGTGCTACCAAAAGACTGCAATTTATCAGTGTTTACACCAAACTGGACTATGTCATGTGTATATTATAAGTCAATAAGTGGATCTCCTGTTAGATCAAGTCCCGAAAATTCAGACAAAGATAACGTTATTCCCAGTAATGGATTTATGATGAAACTAAGCAATAATGGAGATGATGGACAGCCTTGCCAGACATCACTTGGGGTTCTAAATTCAGATGGCAGTTCACCATAATCTCTGACCCGACTGGT